GGACTGTCGGGCACAGTCGGGGGACAGCCTGGGACAGCCTGGGGACAGCCGGGGGACAGCAGGGGACAGCCTGGGACAGCAGGGGACAGCAGGGGACAGCCGGGGGACATCCGGGGACAGCGGGGGACAGCCGGGGACACTCACGGCGGGCTGGAAGCGCAGGTCCCGCTGCTCCCGCTCCTGCTGGTTGAGGGAGCTGAGCAGGCTCTGCAGCCGCTCGATGTACTGGATGGCGCTGCGCAGGATCTCCACCTTGGGCAGCCGCTGGTTCGGGTTCAGGAGGGTGCTGCGCTTCAGGGCCTCGAACGCCTCGTTCACCTTCTTGAGCCGCCGCTTCTCCCGCAGCGTGGCCGCCCGCCGCCGGTCCATGGACACGGATTTCCTCTTGCACACCTTGCAGGCCCAGGGCAGGCACTGGCCCGGACAGTGCTCGGCCAGCGCCTCCTGCTCCTCCGGAGCCACCCTGCCCTCGGCACCCGGGGCAGCCCCGGCGCGCTCGGGGAACGCCGCGGGCTCGTAGCCCTGCAAGCGGGAGCCCAGAAAGTTTTCCCCATCGAAAAACCTCTGCTCGGGGAAGAAGTAGGGGTTGGTCTCGAAGAGCTCCATGGGCGGCTCGGGGGCTGCTGCTGCTCCCTCTCCCCGCGCCAACTGCTCGGTGCTGGCATTAAATCACGGAGATAAATATAGAAAACCCAAAGGAAACCTGAGCCCACCCTAAGCTGCTGCCTCTCATGAAAACTTGTCCGTCCGATTCTTTGCGCTCTCCCCACGGGGATTACAGTGCCCGGCCCGGCGGGGCTGGAGGGGGGACTGGCACGGCCGGGGAAAGCTCGGCTGGGGCTTTGTGGGGGCCCCGAGGTGTCACTGGGGACCCCGGGCGGGTGCAGCTCCCCCCCGGCATCCTGCGGCTCCCTTCAGGCACGGCTGGGAGCAGGCGGCACCTCCATCCCTTCACGCCGCTCTCCAGAATCCCACGGCATCCCAAACCTGTGCCTTCCCTGCTGGAACCAGCACGGCATTGCCCCTTCCCGGCCCTTCCCACCTCCCGACCCCGCCGGGCCCCACGTTCCCCATGGCCCCATCCTCCTCTCCGTGTTACACCGATCCCACTCCTGCTGAAGCCTCGGGAGCCGGGCCTGGGAGGGAAATCAGGGAAATCCCGGTGCAGGGAGCTCCCCAGGCTCCAGCCCCGTCCCTGTGGATGCCCCTCTCCGTGCTCCCCGGTTCCAGCTGCTGTACCTGCTGCCTGTCCCGCAGGAACGGGGCAGGCAGGACAGAGCCAAACCCAACCTTTCCTCTCCCGTGGGCCTCTTGAAGGTGGCCAGCCAAGTCCTTTATCACATTTTTTGTCACAAAATTCACATTGTGGCTTCTCCCACTCACCAAACCCAAAGGACACCTTCTCCCACGTGTTCCAGCAGAGCCAGGCTGGGCTCGACCCCTCCCAGCTGGCACTGCCTCATCCCTCCCACTCTCCTGGGCTAGCCTCTCTGTACCTGTGGATAGCTAAAGCCCCAATGCCTCTCCCAGAAAAGACACGTTGCTCGTGCATTCCCGACAGGGAAACTGAGGCACACCAGCAGTGTGAGCAAGATTTTGAGTCATCTCCAGCTCTTCACTCCAGTGGGGCTTGGCTGCATCTCTCCAGCTTTGTCTTTAATTCAGAGTGGATTTTTTTTTCCATCTGGAACATCAGAAACCATCTCCCATCTCCTCCTATTCCTGCTCCAGGCCAGATTCCAGCTGAGGGATCGGTCAGTGGAAAGAATGTCAGCAAAGTGCAGGGCCCACCCTGCTGGGATTTTCCTTCCCCAAATTCCCTCTCCTTGGAGAGGCTGTTCTGTGGCACATTCCCTGTGCCCACCATCAGCACCCTTGCCCCCTTGGGATTGATTTCTGGCCTTGTTGGAACCTGTCACCATGCTCTTTTCTCCTTGTCGTGATTTCTTTGGGGCCAGGAGCTTTCCAACACCTCCTCACTCCAGATCCTGCTTTCCTGGGGCCCCAACCCTGCGGATTTGCTACCCCCATGATTTTAACATCTATGAAAATCTGCACTAAGGAAAGCAGGACCTGCAGCCTTGAGGTTCACCCTCGGCACAGCCCCTGTGCTCCCCATAGTCAGTAAAACTCTGAAACACCCAAGAAGGAAAGAAATCAGAGCACAAGCTTGGCCCTTGCCTAAAGAAACCGCACTAAAAAGGTTGGGAAGAGGCAGGATTCATCCCTCAGGTATGCAGAGGCAGGAGTGAAGGCTTTAGGAGTGGATAACCTGAGCCAGAGGTCTTCGTGCCAGCCCCACACCATCACATCGAGCAGATCGAGTCACTCGTGGGAACCTTTATCAATGGCACTTGGTGGACCCCCATGAGCCCCTTGAGCTGCAGCCACATCCCTGGGTGTGTCAGGGATGTCAGAGAGGTGTCAGGACCACCGTGGTATAAAAGGGCTTTTTGGAGCTGCAGGATCATGTTTGTGGGGTGAGAGACATGGTGGTGACAAATGGGCTCCGTGGGCACCGGGCTGACCCACTCAGGAGAGCAGCAGGGACAGCCCTGCTGGGGCAGTGCTGGCCACGTGTCCCCAGCTGGAGAAGCGGGACAAGCCAGCCCCAACGGGCCACCAAGGGCACTGTGTCCTCACAGCCGAGCAGGCAGGGCAGACAGGAGACAGCTCACGGAGATGGGGAGGAAAGGGCTCTCAGCGTGGGGTGGGCACTGGGAACAGGGATCTCACTGGCAGCTGCACTGCCCCAGCAGGGAACTCGCTCCGGCTCCGTTTGGAGGTCTGATCCAGTGATGTGGAAGCAGAGATAATGCTGTGCCCACCCAGCTGCAGCTCTGCAGCTCCTTCAGCCCCTCCGTGCCGCGGGCGATCCTGAGCACAGCGGAGGACACGATGGAGTCCGTGGGTCCCGTGGGCTCATCCCAGTAGATATCGAATCAAGGACAATGGATCCCATTGGGCAAGCAGCCCTCATCAAGGGACCCGTGTATGGGCTACAGGACAGCTCCCATGGTGGCCACCCCATCCAGGGGCACCTGCTGGGGATGGGCGAGCGGGGCTTCTCCCGGTGCCCACGGCCGAGGCTGCTGCCGGGATGATTCCGGAGCCGAGGGGGATTAGGGCAGCTCTGCCGGCTGTCAGGTTATCCCGTGATGGATGCTGGCGGCTGGGAGGCTGCACAAAGCCACGCTGTGTGAGCCCCGGGCAGAACGTGCTGCCATCCGTCACGGGGTGAGCACGGGGGCCCCGCCGGGACTGCTCACCCCGACACAGCTGAGGGGAGCCAGGCCACGAGCCCAGAGCTAAAAATACCCTTCCATTGAGAAAATCACAGCGAGGAGAGTCTGGCCGTGCTCCTCCGGGGCAGCTCCACGGAGCGGGATAACGGAGACACCCAGGGGCTGCCCCGGCTGTTTTCCTTTCCCACCACCCCTGACGGTCTGAATTTGCTGAGTTTTGGGGATACGGCCAGGGGAGTGTCCCTAAGCAGTGCCTGTCCCTGTTCCCTGCTGGGAGCTGCCCACACGGGCTGCACATCCCTGCCTGGGCGTGGAGCTGCGCCGTGTCCGCGCTGGACAAGAGATGGTGGGGATGCATCCGGCCAGCTCCCACTGGGATGGGCAGAAAAACCGGGGTTTAGGGGCTGGTGAAGAGATTTGGGTGCCCCAAGCGGCATCTACAATCAGGGGTGACCATCTCACGGACAGGGAGAAAGGGGGGAAAGCCAGGGCTCAGCAGAAATCATCCCTCTAGGATTTCAGCACAGAACAGGACTCACCAAAACACCACTTCCAGCGGGATTCACCCTCCCCCCGCTCCATCCCACATCCCCTCTCGCTTTCCAGGCTCACCGACATCCCTTCCTGCCGCCCTGACAAGCCGTAACACATTTGGGAGCAGCTGCAGGCGGCGGGGAAATGCTCGGCCCTGTCCCCGCTCTGGGCCGAGGAATGTGGAGCAGACTTCTCCGACATTCGGGATTTCCGACGTGCCCGCCCGACATTCGGGACAGCGACAGCTGCCCGGCCGGGATGGGGCTCGGCACGGCCTCCCCGCTCAGCCCCGTGTGGGTTTGTACATCCACCTCTCGTCCCGCTGGGGATTGGGGCTGGTTTGGGGTCCAGCCCGTGGGGACAGATGGGGGATGATGTCCTGCTGTCCATCCCGGCAGGGATGGCAGCGGCAGTGACAGCACCAGCAGACAACCCCTCCCTCTCCCGAAAGAGCCAGCTCGTCCAGTTTGAGTTCCCTGCTGGGATGGGAGGGAGGTGAGACCGGGCTGCTCCTGCAGCTCTCGTGTCCCCACGGGGCTCAGCACCACCGGTGCCTCCTCTCACCCATCCAGGGGCCCCGGGTTCCCTGTCAGGAAATCAGGGATCATGATGGAGGTCTAAAATCTGTTTTATTTTGGTTATTAACTGTCTTTGCAGGCTTGATCTGGGAGGAAGGTGAGGGATGACAGAGAGGTGCTGGTGGCCGAGTAGTTCCCAGTGCGCTGGATCCCAGCTTGGGGATAATACTGGGTGCCCCAGCAAGGCACTGGGCCCAGTCTGTGAATTGCACTGGGTGCCCTGCTGCAATCACCCTCTGTGCCCTGCCCCACCAGGATACCAAACCGGGTACCCTGACCCACGAGTTTGCTGGTTCCCAGTCCAGGGACCACACTGGGGGTACCCTGAGCTCCCTCCTTGCCCACACTGCTCAGGGGATGCTCAGGGGATGCACAAAACCTCCCGTGTTTCTGCCCCTCCATGGTCTCCTTTGCTCCATGACCCCATGGACATGACCCTTCCCTTCAGTGGAGGAGGGGTTCACCCGGCAGGACCCCCACTAATGAACCCCCCGTGGGGTTTCCCTTCCCCCTCCTCCCCGTGCCCCCCTGCCAGGGGCATCCCCGGCTGCTCCATCCCCTGCAGGTGCCACCAGCCGGGCTGTCCCCACACGTGTCACCGAGCAGGGGGGGCTTGGCTTGTCAACAAGGGGCTGCTTTCCCCCGAGTGGGACACTGTGGTGGGAGCAAGCTGCGGGACAGGTGGATGTTCAGAGGAAGACTCATGAATGTGAGGGATTCAGCAGTGACATGTGGCGGCTGTTTGTCCCCGGGAGGGGCAGCTGTCCAGACAGGGGAGGGTGTGAGGCCCGGGACGGGACGTGGGGACAGCAGAGTCCCTCGGCAGGGACAGCCCTGACACAGCAGCCTCTGGAAGCAGCAGAGGGCGCAGACAGGTCCTGGCTGGTGACATTCAGCTTGTCCCCGTGGTGGGCACGTCCCGTTCCCTTCCATGGCCTGACTGCGGACGATGCTGCAGGACCAAGGCCTGGTAAATAGAGGAAAAAGGAGCTTGTGATGCTTATTTCCAACTTTCGGGACATAAACCGGTTACTCCTGTATTCTTCTGCTCCCACCCCAAGTGGCAGCAAATTCTGGCACAAGGAGGGGTGACACCCACCCTCCTCTCCCCCCATGAAGAGCTGAGTGGTAACTCAGCGAGACTGGGAGGAACAGTTGTGACGATTTTGTGGCTTCAGCGTGAGATTCCCCGGGGGACAAGGGGCAGCAGACTCCCCCTCCTGACATGCCAGCAGCGATGCCGGACGCG